AAAATTTGCTCATGTAGTACAAATAACTAGAAAAGTAATATAAGTGATGAGTTAATTTTTCAGTTCTCCGTATTATCATGTTCTTTTCAATCCCATATTGATATGTAGAAAATGCAAGTTCCAAGAGCCCATATATTTCCCAGAAGTGGAAATTGAAGAAGTCAAGGGCAACCCTCCCCCAGCTTCCATGATAGCCACGTTTTTCGAGCAATTCCACGCTCCCTGAACGATACGAAGGATGACAGAGAGGCTTGGACGGTTTTCCATTTCAGTTTAACATACCGTTTGTTACCAAGTGAATCTAGAATTCATTTCATTTTAAAATGAATTACCGTATAGAATCCATTGTCAAATGAATCCTTGTGTTTGGTATGTCATATTCAAATCTTAAGAAATAAAATGAATTGAATTCCCAAACCATGTGTTTAGCGTACGTTTGTAATTGCATTGAATTAAAAGTTTCCAACTAAGCCCATATTAATTTTCGCTAGAAACAATATTAATTGAAAATCCATCTTCTAAAAATTATTTTGATCTCATACTTAAAATATCAAAGTGTTCTTGTGTGTTTCTATTCTATTCATTAGTTCTTTCGATATTTTGTCAATGAACCCTACACTCTAGTTGTGGCTTCTCAACATATTGATATAATCAAAGCAGAAATATCAAATAACCAGAATATGTTACTAGCGCTGCAATCAAATTCTTGTCGACGTTCCTCATACTGCATGAATTGGTGTCAAATAATACATGTAGAATTAGTTTAGTTAATAATTGAGGATAATTATGTAATTTTGTTATAATTAGTAAATTCTTGTGGAATTCATTTGGAAATTCCATCTCAATTTCTCGAATTGCTATAACTATCTCCAGTAGAATTCAAAATTTAAAATTGGAAATGAATTCTTTTAAATACCAAACAAAAAAAGATTGGACTTTGCTACAGTGACATGCATGTCACAGTGACATGCACTTTTCGGTCGACCTCATATAGGATCAGGTCGACCTAATCAGTTGTTTCAGTGTAAAAACAGTTTCCTGGTGCCTACTTTGGAGATTCATATCTTACAATTGGCTAGATGAAAATTGGAGATTAAAGGTTTGTTTTGAAGCTGAAGTGTCCCTCTACACATTAAAGTACTTGGGAGCTCAATAGAAAGTCTAGAAGACCATTTTTGAACCTGACCAAAAGGCTATGCCAAAACTGGGAAACTGCCTGAAAATGGCCAAGTCTGGCAACGTGTTTGTCAAGCCTACTTTGGAGCTCAATTTGAGAAGCATGGATGCGAGTCAAGTCCAGGGGCCTCTACCACGTTAAATTACGTATTGTTTTATGCAAAGGCAAGGCATTGAATGAAAGATTGAATATCTTTAAGGCTTCAAACAAAAGGCACGAAGTTGCTACGAAGGCTATTTTTCTGGCAGCTTGCTTGTGCTCGAAGTCTGCCAGAAAAACAGCCTTCGTAGCAACTTCGACCCTTTTGTTTGGAGCCTTAAAGATATCCAATCTTTCATCCAATTCCTTGAATTTGTATAAAAACATACCTAATTTAACGTGGTAGAGGCTCCTGGACACGACTCGCATTCATGCTTCTCGAATTGAGCTCAAAAATAGGCTTCACAAACACGTTTCCAGACTCAGCCATTTCTAGGCAGTTTCCCAGTTTTGGCATAGCCTTTTGATGAGGTTCAAAAATGATCTTCTGGACTTCCTATCGAGCTCTCAATCACTTCAATATGTAGAGGGACACTCCAGCTTCAAAACAAGTCATTAGTCTTCAATTTCCATCTAGCCAATTGTATGATATGAATATCCAAAGTAGGCACCATGAACTGTTTTTATACTGAAACAACATATTAGGTCGACCGGATCCTATATGAGGTCGACCGAATCCTAAATGAGGTCGACCGGATCCTATATGAGGTCAACCGGATCCTATATGAGGTCGACCGAATTCTAAATGAGGTCGACCTAATCCTAACTGAGGTCGACCGGAAAGTGCAAGTCACCGTGACATGCATGTCACTGTAGGCACACCCAAAAAGATTTTATTTCAAAATGAATTCTTTAAAATTTATGGCATTTAGTTATACCAAACGGTATGTAATATTTTATATTTATATATGTCCAAAATCAATTAATTGTTAAAACAAAAACCCTAAACTAATTCGGAAGCACGTTCAGCTCGTTTCCCTGAAATCACCCGTGAGTCCGTGACCAGCCGGCTTGCAATCGTTAACCACTACTGTAAATTTATTTATTCTCTCTACTCCAGCCACCACCGGCGAGGAGATGCGGGAGCTGGCGTCAGGGGAGACTTCAGGGAGACGAGCGATCGGTACTTCTGGATTACTTTAGGGGTTTGGTTTTTCTAACATAAATAATAAAATAATTAAACAAATTAAAAGATAGCTAAACGTAAGATAATTAGATCTGTAAAATTTGTGGAAGGCTATAACGAATACAGACCACGATATACGTGGAAAAAATCCCAAAATACACCTGTTATTAAACAAATTCCCAAAATAGTGAATACATACTAAATTTTGCAATCTACACATGTTTGGGTTTATCGCAGTCGACGACCGCAATAAATGCATCATCGCAGTCGACGAGCGCGGTAAAGGCCTGACCTAAGGCTAAAACTTCAAACAAACGTAACTTTGCACTCCGTTATCTGACTGTAGCAATTTTTTTTTATTCCGCATAATTTTTAGAGATCTTGCAAGACATAGGAAGTTTGGTCCAGTCATCATCCCGAAAAAAAAACGTTTTTACTACCCCGAACATTCAATTTTTCAAATTTTCCAAACTTTGGAAGACTATAACTTTGTGCTCCGCAGTGCGTTACGAAATTTTATTTTCGCTTAAATTTTTCAAGACTCCAACTTTTATCGTAGCCATAATTTCATAATGTATGTGGATTTGTGGATAAGTAAAGGCAAAGTTATTCCCAAAATACTATATATCCAAAAATATTTCTTGTTTTGAAAATTCATTCCTAGTAAAAGTTGTAGTCCTTAAAGTTATGCACAATAATTTTTTTTCTTGACGTTTGGATTGCGGAGCACAAAGTTATGGCCTTCCAAAGTTAGGTGAAATGGAAAATTTGCTTGTTCAGGATAACAAACGCGTTTTTTCTGAATGAATACGGGACCAAACTGCGCCTTTGTCTTGCACGATCTCGAAAAATAATGTGGAATAAAAAAATTTATTAATCGGTTAACCGAGCGCAAAGTTACGTTTGTTTAAAGTTTCTACCTTCTGTAAGGCATTCACCGCGGCCGTCGACCGCGGTGATGCATTCACCATGGCCATCAACTGCGGTATTTCCCAAACATGTGTAGATTGAGATTATTTATTTATAACGTGTGTATTTTGAGAATATATGTGGATTTGTGAAAAGTAAAGACAAAGTTATTCCCGAAATCCTGTATATCTAAAAATATTTCTTTTTCCTTATAAGTATGGATGTCTGCAAGTGAGCAAGTGAGTCAAATGACACAAATTTTAGCAAATATTCAAGACCTCATATCGGAAACTCCCCAAAGCAATATCTAGAGAAAGACAAAGGATGTATGTTCCATAACGTTGAAGAGTGGAAAAGAGCCAAACTGTCTTTGTCTTGCACTATCTTAAAAAATTATGTGTAATAAAAAGAAATTTCGCTAGGAACGGATAATCGGGCACAAAGTTATTTTCGTTTGAAGTTTCAGCCTTATATCACGCCTTCACTGCGGTGATGCCCAAATAGAGGTGGCAATTCTCAATCCAATCCACCAATCCAATCCACCAATCCATTAAAAATATCCACCAAATCCAATCCATTTAAATCCAATCCATTTGATCCAAATCCAATTTGATTGGTGGATTCATGGATCAATCCATGGATCCAAATGGCAAATTACGGTTTGGTACCTATAATTTTTATATTTTACATTTTGGTACCCAAAATTTAATTTTTTATACGAAAAATATCATTGGAAAATTACGTTTTGGTACCTAAAATTTTTCATTATGACATTTTAGTACCTAAACTTTTCTTATTTTACATATTGGTCCTTGGTTGATGATGTCATTTGGATTCATGGATAATCCATCAATCCACTTGATCCAATCCATGAATCCACCAATCCATTGGATCCAATCCACTTCATCCATGGATCCATCAATCCAATCCACCAATCCATGGATCCAATCCATTTGCCACCTCTATGCCCAAACATATGTAGATTGTCAATATTTTTTTATAACGTATGTATTTTGAGATTTGTTTTAATAACTTGTGTATTTTGAGATTATTTTTTATATACTTTGGTATCCCCGATTGACAAGACTAGTCCACGGGAGAGCTCAAACTTTCGGCTGATATATTATTATCAATTCGTTGGTTATGACCGAAGGCCTTACACTTGCTTTTATTACAACAATTATCATATAAGCCAAAGCAACTAGGGCATGTAAACAAGACACAAGCATGTGCAGCAATGGCAGCAAGTCGGGCTTGAGTGGGCTGGCCGGGGTGATGTACCGGGTCCAATACTCCCCTACAAGTTGGAGCGTGGAGATGACGAACGCGCAGCTTGGACAAGAGGAAGAGAAAACGTTCAGCACCAAGACCTTTCGTGAACATGTTTGCGAGTTGATGATGGAAGCGGACCTTCACGGGCGCAATGTTATTACCCTGGACACGCTCCTGTACAAAGTAGCAATCCTTTTCTACGTGCTTGATGCGTTCATGATACACCGAGTTGGAAGCTATGTGGAGAGCTGTCTGGTTATCACAATAGAGAGCAGTAGATGTGGATGGCGTAACACCCAACTCTTGCCAAAGCCAACATAACGAAATCACCTCACTGAACGTACTCGAAAAAGCTTGATACTCAGCTTCGGCAGACAAGAGAGCGACCACGTGTTGATTCTTGGTACCCCACGAGATAAGCACTCCCCAAAGAGTGATAACTTAACCCGTGGAGCGACGGGTGGATTAACAAACACCTCAATCCGTATCGCAGTATGAGACTAAATAAAGTGAGCTACAAGAAAGAAATAATAATCTCTTACCAGGCGAACCCTTCAAGTAGCATAGGGTGCGATTTCCAGCATTCATGTGAGCTTGGGTAGGTGAGTGAACAAACTGACTAAGAATATTTACAACATAAGTGATATCTGGACGAGTAACAGTCAGGTATATATATGAGAGTTGACCTACCAAACGACGGTATGCGGCTGTGTGAGGATGATCAAAGCGAGCATGCCGAGTAAGATGGTGGTTCTGCGTAACAGGAAAAGTGCTGGGACGACTGCCTAACACCCGTGAATCACTCAAAATGTCTAGTAGATACTTGTGTTGGCTAAGAACCATGCCTTCCAGGAATCGTGAAACCTCAATTCCCAAGAAATAACGCAAATCACCTAGATCTTTGATGCTGAAACGCGCATGAAGAAAATCCTTGACATGGGAGATGAATTACAAGCTATTACCGGCAAGAATAACATCGTCCACATAGATAAGAGAGAGAATATTAATACTTCCCTAGCTAAAGACAAACATAGAATGATCTGCCGGTAACGGCCGCAACTTCAACTCACAAAGAGCAGTTGTAAACTTGTGATACCAGGTCCGAGAGGGCTCGGCGAAGACTCTGGTTAGCGCATATATACTTTCTCATCCAAATTTTCATGGAGAAAAGATTTATTGACTTCCAACTGACGAATAAACCAACCCTTGCTGACAGCAACCGCAAGGAGGCAACTAACCGTAATAAGCTTAGCAACTAGAGCAAAGGTGTCATGAAAATCCACACCATCTATTTGCGTATAGACCTTGGCTACAAGAAGAGCTTTATAACGCTCAACAGTACCATCCAATAAGAATTTGACATTGTATACCCACTTACATGCAATAAGGTGTTTAACAGGAGGTAAGAAAACGAGACTCCATGTCCCATTCTGTTCGAGAGCCAGTATAACTCTAGGAACATAGCACGACGCCAACGGTCATGGGGGACGACTTATAAAAATGTTTGAGGCTCTAAATGATGGGAAACTACAACGAGAAAATCACAGTAGTTAGGTGATAAACGAGTATATCCAAGATTATCAAAGATGGGGTAGTGAACTGAGTTCGCTTGACTCCCTGTATAATAAATGTCGAGGTATTTGGGAAGCACTCGCTGACGGTCACCAAGACACGACGAACGAGGAGAGGGAGCATCATTCAAAGTGGTCATGTTTGGGGAAGAAAGAAACGGACTAGAATTCGAAGCCCCGTTCGGCGATGCAGGAGGGCCAGATGGATGCGGCGACAAAGAAAGCTCATTCGTAGTAGAAACGGAACCAGTAGAATGTTGGTCCTGTGGCCGAGCGGAAGGTGTAGCAAACTCAGGCAAATCTAGCAAAGAAACAGTGGAATCAGGAAGAACCAATTCATCCTCTAGATCATCTAACAGGTGCTGAAACGACATGCCAGGTACCCAATGAAACTTTTGAGCTGTGTTAGACTGAAACGGTAATAGACTCACGGAAAACGACATCACAGCTAGTAATAATGCATCGTCTAGCAAGATCATACGCATGATAGCCCTTCTGAATAGACGCGTAGCCCGAGAAAACAGATGCAGCCTTCGTTCATCAAACTTCTTAAGAGCGGCGTGGGTATCCTTGCAATAGACAAGGCATCTAAAAACACGTAAATGGAAATAGGAGGCTGGTTTACCAAATAAAACTTCATAAGGAGTTTGAACGGTAGCATTATGGGTAAACGGTTATTCAAGTCGCAACAGAGAGGATACATTGCCCTAGAAACAAATAGGTAAGGATCCCTGGAAGAGAAGAGCGCGAGCTATCTCAAGAAGATGCTTATGCTTATGCTATACGAATCCGATCTGTTGAGGCCTATCAGTGCAGGAAGTTTGCATAAGAATGCCTTCTTGTTCATAAAATGCACGCAGTGCAATAGTGCTAAATTCACGGCCATTATATGCCTGAATCTTCTTCACCTGTTTACCAAACTTAGTACGCACAAGATTACAAAATAGCTGAATATGACGAACGACTTCTGATTTTAACCGGATAAGATATATCCAGACACCACGGCTAATATCATCCAATATTTTCAAAAACTAATGAGCCCCAATGAAAGACGGAGTACTGTATCCTCTCCAAATATCCATATGAAACAGCTCAAAACAAGATGAAGACCGAATCCCACTAACAAGAAAAATTGTTCGAACTTGCTTCGCACGCAAACGAGGATAACAAACATCAATAACTGACTCTGCAAAAATAGAAAGCACATCCTGAAACTTAGTGATGATTGTCGATGAGGGATGTAATCGGCGAGCGTGCCACAGGGTTCCCGGCAGCCAGATGTCTTCTCAACAGCGTGAGCTCGTGCTCGGTAAAACCTGGTGGCGACAAAACTGCAAGTGCACAGTGTCGTACAAGTAATAAAGTGTAAGTAAAATTATCGTTCTCTAGGGGATTGGTGAAGCTTGCCACCAATAATACAAGGTATAGTAAAACTCCCTGGATCGTCCCTTTATTTTGAATCACAACATTACATTCAGAGTTAAGGGTTACCTTCTCAATGTCAGGCCACTTACGCTTATTAGTAAGCAACTCCTTCAAAATCTTTGCGTAAGTAGGCATTTCCTCCAACGCCTCGACCAATGGTATGTTGATATGTAGTTGTTTGAAGAGGTTGAGGAATTTCTTGTAGTTTGGATCATCTTGGGGCATCATCAACCTTTGAGGGAAAGGTGCAGGGGGTTCATAAGGCTTGACTCCTTCATCTTTGACATTTTCATGTTTTGGAGGTGTAGTTGACGAATGCATGTGCAGTGTCAAAGTGCCTGCATTTTGACCCTGCACATCAGTCTCTAAATTTTCAGCAACAAAATTTCCAATACCTTCTTGGATTTTTATGAATTTTGGATCTTTGGGGTTGTCTCCTTTAGCTCTTTTCCACTCTTCAACGTTATGGAACATACATCCTTTGTCTTCCTCTCGATATTGCTTTGGGAAGTTTCCGATATGAGATCTTGAATATTTGCTAAAATTTGAGTCATTTGACTCACTTGCTCCCCCATTCTAAGTATGGATGTCTGCATGGTGTTTTTGATCACCTTTATTCTTCAAGTTGATTGGTGGTGTGAGCAACAAATTCATCTAGCCCCTTCATGTTGTTCTCTATCTTCCTCATGTGTGAAAATATGAGCTCTTCAAACGTGGGCTTCTTCTCTTCTAGAGGTTCTTGAGGTTGAAATCTAGGAGGTGCATTGTTGCTTCGGCCTCCAACATTGTTGTTGGACCATGAGAAGTTGGGATGGTCACGCCATCCATAATTGTAGGTGTTGGAGTATGCACCACCTTGATTTCTTTGGTTGTTCATATAGTTGACCTCTATTGATTGAGTAGCTCCCTACACTTCTTCAGTTCTTCTCAAAGAGTTCAAACATTGAATCCAACTTGGCTTCTAGTCGAGCTTCCAAGCTAGTAAACTTGTCTACTTCATGGATACCTCCTCTCCTTCGAGAACTCTTCTCCCCACCCCACTCATCTTCATTCAAGCATATCCTTTCAACAAGGTCGTAGGCAGCTCCGGGCTCCATGACTGTAAATCCTCCACCAGATGCATGGTTCAATGCTTCTCTGAATACTCTTTTTATTCCATCAAAGAATATGGAGATAACAGTCCATTCTTCTAGACCATGGCTTGGGCATTTGAGAAGTAGCTCTTTGTAACGCTCCCAAACTTCACTTAGGCTCTCGCCATCAATTTGCTCGAAATCTACAATGTCCTTCTGCCTCTTCATCGCCTTCGATGGTGGAAAGTCCTTGTCTAGGAAGGCTTTCTCTAGTTCTGCACACTAAAGCACAAATCAAAATAGTTCACTCAAACAAAATTAATTAAAATTGAATTTTGGCAATCCCCGGCAACGCCGCCAAAAACTTGGTTGTGACAAAACTGCAAGTGCATAGTGTCGTACAAGTAATAAAGTGTAAGTAAAATTATCGTTCTTTAGGGGATTGGTGAAATTCAATAATTAACAAATTTAGTTCAAGAAACTATAGGAATTGCAAAGATTGTAATCAAGTGATGATATGCAAAGATACGGACAAATTAAGTAACTCGATAAATCAACTATTTTGGAGAAATTGATATTAGAGAGTTCCGGGGGAAACACAAGATTTTACTATTTTACACGATAGAAAATGGAGGAAAAACAAATCGTGATTAAAACATCGAGGGTAGATAATGAAATTCATAAGTTTCCCCCAAAATTTGGAGGATTAGTTCATGATGAAAAGAAAGAACATAAACATGCTAATGTCCAACATCATAACTAATTACCAAAACAAAGGAGTATAAGTGTTGAAGTTAACCCCCAACATACAAGAGTCTTCCTTTCTTCAAAATGCTCAACTCCAAAGTGTGTCAAAGTGATCTCTCTCCTTTTATTTTTCTCTCCAAAATCTTTGTCCAAAAGTGTCTACTAAGCTCCCCCTCTTGTTGTATTTTTCTGTCACTTTTAAGCCCAATTTCTGCAGATTTTTCTCCCACAAAACAATGCACTTTCAGCTCCCATTTCCAAGAGAAAGCTGCTGCCAGCTTAAGTCTCTTTATTTGAAACAAATTCTTGCATCATTTTCTCTACTGGTGAGCCACCAAATCCATTTGCTCACTTCAATAAATTTGATCCAATCCCAATAAGTTATGAGGGTTGCTGATAGTTGAGTGAAGATTCCAACCAACAATAATTCGATTTGGGTCTTTATCGGTTTGGCGTCCTGCTGGACGTTTGCCACTGCACGTTTTCACTTTTCCACTGCACATGCATTCGTCCACTGCACTTTGTTTTATTCACAATCTTAGTTTCAATCTGCGTTAAATCGCTACATGTCTTGGTAATGACACTAGGGTCATTCTATGGTCAATATGAACTAATTTAGAGCAATTTAAACACATAGATACATAAGGATCAATCATTTATGCACATAATACATGTATGTTTATGAAGCTTATCAAAACCCAAAAATCTTCAAGAAGTAAAGTCCATCACGTATCTCCCCTTCCCAATAATGTTCTTGGAGAGTAAGTCCTAT